ATATCGCATAGCATTTCGTGAATTCTGGGGTGTAAAAGAAGTTATTTGACGGGGTGGTGTGAAAAAGAAAGAATAGATATATAATGGGGTGAAAAAGATTTTGACTCTATTAAATAAGTCATTTCTATAAGGCTTGTTTGTTAAGGCCTAAAAAATAATAAAATTTGATAATCTATTTTCCATCTTTTTTCACCAGCGTTATTTTTTTGTCGGAACGTTAAACCTGACCTTATTAGCGCTAACCGATAAATTAATTAATATATTATTCCGCTAACATGTTTATAGCAATATGGATTTGATTTTAGTATATATATTTTTTCTTTCATATAAAAAATATGAATTTTACTTATTTGTTTTTCGTATAATACTCAATTATTATTTTATTATAAAATTTGTTGTAATAAAATGTCATTAATATTATTTATAAAAGTTATAGATGTTGTTTCTTTTTCTTTTTATTTTATGTAATGAAAATATTTAATGTACGTTAATATTATTTATTAGTGTAATGAATTTAAATTATGTAAATAAATTTAAATTAAAACATTGTGTACAAATATTTTACAAATTACACATAAATGTTTTTTTTAGAATTTAAATTTTATTTAATAATTATACATATATTTTTCTAATTTACATCATAAGACTTTATAGTTTATTCAACATACTATGCAATGAAATTATATTTTAAAAGAATTTCACAGAGAGAAATCAAATAAAAAATAACTAAAAAATATGATCATGGTTAACAATAATTTACTAATAAATCACATATTGAAATTCTAAAGAATAGTTAATATATTTCAATTTCATTATATGGCCATTAGTGAAATTATTTAATGTATTTGTTCATCATTTCTTAAATGTTAAATTAATATAAATGTGAAGAATAATTCATTTTTCCATTTATATCTATAATAAAATAAAGATGAAGGAAAAAATTACTTACATGTTACCATTTCCTTAAATATTTGACGATGAAAAGTCAATATTTATGAAAAAAAAATATGATTAATTTAAAATATATTTTCATGTCTATCTTGACAATAAAATAATCAATATGAAACACAAAAACTAAACTTATAGTTTATTATATATCAGTTAAATCAATATGAATCAATAAAATTAAATTTATAGTTTATTATATATCAATGAAATTATTGCAGATGCTGAGAAAAATTATTAAAAAAAATAATATTTTTGATTTTATCCAATTTGATGAATTGTATATATGAAAGCAATTAATGCATATATTTTAATAGTTTCCAAAAAATTCATGTATTTAATATTTATAGATTTATTTGCTACTATTTTCAGTAATGGTATATATATATATATATATATATACATATATATACATATATATATATATATATGGTCGCGCTCCAGTGAGAAAGGTTCTCAATGAAAGAAATAAAAATACATCATATCCATTGGATTGAATGATCCAATGGCTAACATAAACACAACACTTTATATATTAGTAAGGTTAAATTAGACATTATACTCAATCAATCCACGTACGGGCCCAGGTAACCACACCAAACTCTCCCACA